GTTGTTCCCCTCCACGCAGACGGTCAGACCTCAGGTTATCTCCCGAAAGATCTCGTCTTTCATTCTTTAGTCTCGTTCCTGCTCGAGCTCCTTCGCTATGTTTTCATAAATTGAACGAATCCTGAGGTAAATGCTGCAGAGACAGTGAAACAATATTCCTCGTATCAGCACCATAACTTTCCTTCTACTTAGTTTCGTGATTACTCCGCCCAGTGGAGTCGCCCTCTGCAGGTCATTTGGGAGAATGCAGGTTTTGGGTACTCATGGATCTTATGAGCAAGACGTCAAAACTCGACATCCAGATTACGTCGGTGTGACTTCAGCTTGTGCACGTCTCCTGTCATAGAACGTTCTGCACATTCAAGCAGCTGCATCTCTGGAGGTCTCGTGCATTTGAATATTTTAAATCCAATTTATGCATTTTCTTTTTGAATTAAAGATTAAATAATTGAAGCTAGCCTTTGAATAATTCATGGGCTGCTTGGGAAGCTGAGGTCAGCACGATAAGGCCATAGATCTGTAATAGGAACAACTGTAATGCAAATTTCCGAAGAGCCACGACGCAAAGTGATTAAACAGACGACAGAGACGAGGATGAAAAAGAAAAGAGGCTGAAAATCTTTTTCACTTTTGTTTCGTGGCTTTAATGCACAAAATGAGAAAGAACGCGTGAGTGTGAAGCAGAATCAAATGAGCAATAAAATAGAAAATAAGAAAGTTTTTGTTTGATTACTCGCAGAACTCCTGAACGGATTTCTATGAAACTTGTTAGAAAGATGGAACTTGGACCAAAAAAAGAGCAATTTAAATTTTGCCCTGGATCCAGGATTTCTTTGTTACGTCCTTCGTGACATCTTCCATAATTCACCAGAGAATAATAATGGATCTTGATGAAAACAGAATCTGAGTGTGGGCAGTTCGATCTGGATGTTGGGGATGTAAACGAGGTTTCATAACGGGACTCTTGGGCCCTGGCGGAGGTGTGAGCTCCTCTGTGGGCTCCTCTAGTTTTTCTAATTTCCTCAGCTGGTGTGTCACTTAATTTTTATTACAAACAATTTTTGTGATTTTAAACCCCAGGGCGTTTCTCCAGCATGGAGACGACGCCTGATGTTGTGTTTTAAGGTTTGCATCTAAAGCACAGGTCGTAGAAAACACATCATATTTGTTTTTGATTTGACTCATTTTCCATGATGCACATTCATTACCGCCGCTAATGTGCGCGGCGTCTTCATTTGAATATGCAGCTGCATTCCTGCCTCCACTCAGCGTTGAACCCGTCGTGACTGAGGAGCGCGGCTCGTGTTTTCTCATTAACAGTCAGCATGTGAAAAGTGAAGTGGCTCAGTGGCATCAGAGGGATTTACCTCACAGGATCAAAGCCGTCCTTGATATTAGTGTCCTTCAGCGCCTCCTCTGCATCTCAGCGGCTCCCACATCCGCCCACGAGTCGGCCATCTGGGATGATTTCAAGAGAGAGGGAGCTCCCGATTAAGATTAATGAGGAAATCACTGCATCGTTTCATCTTCACATGCAGAAACTTCATGTGCATTGTTATTCTGCTTATTGTTTTAATGTACGTTTGTCCTCAGTGATTTTATTTCATTCAACAGATGAGTGATTTGAACACGCCGCTGCTGTTTGGGGCGGAGCTGCTGCGTTAACCTCATGTGTGCAGATATAATTGGGCCAGAATGTGTCACGACCTAAGTGACATGGATCGATCAATGTATCGATGAGTGATTCACTTCGTCTCCCTGCGGCTACGAGCGCTGGAGAAAAGAAAATGTTTGTTCCTGTGGACGCATCATCGCTCTGTCGGAGAACGTAATTTAGTTGATGAATCAAAAACTTGTTCTTTAAAGGAATTTAAGCTTCTGCTTGAATTAATTTCAAGATGTCGAGGAGGCAGCGTTGTGTCTCTGAGGGATATTTGCTTAATTGTTTCAGTCAGGAATAAAGAATAATGATGACAACGGCTTCTAATTAATCTCATAGATTTCTTTTTCTGGATATTGGGACGATCGTCTATTTTCGAGTGTGAGCACAGAGTGATAGCTCAGCGTTAGCTCTCCACCCCAGACGAGGTCCAGGTTAATCAATATTCCAGATATGAATCCTATTATTGGCTTCCTGCGATGCATCTGGATTGGATGCATAAATTACAGCGGATCAGTCTGCAGTTAAAAAGCAGCACTGACAAGCGGCTGATTGAAACTGAAATGATTGAAACTGATTTCATTGGTTTGAAACACTTTGGACGACAGAAGACCTTTCTTTGAAATGCGAAAAATAAAAACGCTGTTGTGTGAAAACTAGATGCTTTTCAGCTTCTATTGAACAACCCTCAGTGTGTGTTCAGAAACGACAGCCGGCAGACACTTCTCTTGAAGTCAAGGCCACCGTGTAAAAAATCCCTCTCTCTTCAGTAACTGAGTCGTCAGCCACTTAGCAGCCGAGCGTTTTGAAATGTGCACAAATGTTACCCTCGGCCCTGGAGAGCGTTCCCTCACGGATTTTTTGCGAACTCTTTGATTCACACGTTGCGGGGGAGGTGTCGCTGCTGATGAGTGGAGCTCAGATCAGCAGGTTACACAGAAGTGAACGACAACTGCTGCTTTTCTTTTAAATGTTCCTATTGAGGACTATTAGATTTGTTACTGTGTGAAAAAAGAGTCAGGGCAAAGGGACGGAGTGTTATTGTCCCTCGTCACTGCCTGCGCATCTGTTTTTTATGTGTTACTGCCACCCACTTCCTGTTTTGCTCTTGTATTGATTGTTACTGTGTGTGTGTGTGTGTGTGTGTGTGTGAGGCCTCAATCGTGTGAGGTTTAAACTGAGCTGTTGTTGTGGTGAAACGTAAAGTTTAGAGGAAGTGAAACACGCGTCTGTGTGTCAGACCCACGTGGAGTTTTTTCGACCGTTGCAGACGTGTTTCCAGACTTTGAGGCGTTGTTTCTTTCGCCCTCGCCTCCAGTCTGAACCTCACGTCCTCACAGACCTCCTGTCAGCTCGTCGTCCTGTTCCACGCTTCTGATGTTGCAACGGCAGGTTCTGTGATGAAACCTCACCTCATTTACTTTTCTCGTTTCACAAAAACACAATATCAGAGTTTTATCACACAATCATTGCAGCCAAAATGAATTCACAGTAACGGCATTCCCACAATTTCTATTTTAAGAAAACTATTTACTTGACCTTCTGTTAACTATCAAACCTTCTTTCTTTCTTCCTTCCACTGCCGATGGCTGATAATCAAGTTTTAATTGGTGACTGATTCCGTGCCATGTGACCTTTGCAGTTCCATCCTCACTGACACACACCAGACGCTCCTTCCCTCCACTCGCTCCCTCAAATCCACCAACCAGCGCCTGAAGGTTATCAGCCAGTGTCAGACATTCTTGGGGAAGCGGTAGAAACTTGGAGCGAATTGTGTTTTTCTCCTCCAACACAATCACATTCCTCTGAGCTACTTAGGAGAACCAAGGCAGCGGGAGAGCCAATTTCCCTTTTTAAGATTAGTTAGTGCCCTCAAGGTCCTAAAGCTTCCACAGGGTTCCCACCGTCAGGGCCGTCCCCATCTTTGGGTCGTAGCTGTACGCTGCACCCTGGCGTAACTTCCAGACGACGGCAAGATGGAAATATGAGGATGGGAGGAGGGAGGGGGGGGGGCGGGGGGGGGAGAAAAGAATTAGGCTCGCTCCTCTCGTTTCTCTGGAGATCTGCCTCTTTTAGCTACAGCAGCAAGAAGAGACGCAGGATTCTGTGAAATGAGGCAAAACATCGCATGTGAAAGAGAAAGTGGAAAAATTTGAGAGAATTGAACATGTGCAGTAAACGTGTGTGTGTGTGTGTGTGTGTGTGTGTGTGTGTGTGGTTAGACAGGCTGAGGAAACAGGGACAGAAGATAGATGGACGGACGCTTTATTCATCAATGACTTCACTACAGAAATAGCCAGCAGCACAACAGGCCGACACATTTCAGTGACACCTTGTGTGACAGTGTGCAGGATGTGAGTGTGTGTGTGTGTGTGTGTGTGTGTGTGTGTGTGTGTGTGTGAGAGGGAGACAAACAGACAATGTAAAGTTAAAAACGGTAAAATGTTGATTTTTTTTTCTTGGGTTATGTCGTAGAATCATTCATCAGCAATTCAACAATTACTTAAAGTGGCAATAAAGCAAGTTTGATTATACAGATTGAAAAACTCAAACATTAACTTTTAAATAATAAATAAAATACACAGGTGAAACTAATAAAGCAAATATATTTTTACACTTGTACACAAGGAGGGACGACATGAAAACTCCTGAAAAGTGAAGCCAAATCACCATGATCACCCCCTGGTGGCTGGCTACGGCATAATTCATAAAATATTGTAGTTTTCACCTCTGTCCATTTGTTGGACTGCTGCTTGACTGATTTCCACGAAACTTGTTGGAAGGAAGTAGAACGGGTGCAGGAATAACTCGTGAGAACGTTCTCGTAGATTCTTGGAGGATATTTGTGAGTGTGTGCGATTTATTGGTTTATTAAAATGTTCATAGAGCCTTAAAAGTTGAAAGAACTTGTGGGTGGTCGAGGGGTAAACGGCTACTTCCTATGAATAATTTCACGCCTCAGTCACAATTGCTGAAGTTTAGGCAGAAATAAAGATGGAAAATATGAAATCGTTTTTCCTGTTTCACCGACCTGATCTGAACAAACAGACAACAAAGGCGAGATGAGGAGGAAACGAGGAAGAAGAACATGTGCAGCTGTTGTTCAGTGAGTCAGAAAGAGGGAAACGAGCGAGAGAGGAGGCTGAGAGCAGAGAGAGAGAGAGAGAGAGAGAGGGAGTGTTAACCATGCGCACATGAGAAGCAGAGAGAGAATTGAGAGGGAGGGCAGCAGAGGGAGAGAGAGGGAGGGAGAGAGAGAGAGAGAAAGGTTTAATTAATTCAGGGTGGAAGGGAGGGATGTTACCGCCGAGGCTCCAGAGCTGCTGCTGCTGTTGTGCTGCATGAAGTGATCGTCTGAGCGCAGAGGACGACTCGGCTGCTGCTGGGAATCAAACACCAAACCGACCACATCCTGGAGCTCACTGACTCACTCAGCCTGGCTGGGTCTGAACAGGGATGTTCCATGGACTCATGTGTGAGCAGCAGTGCACAGAGGTAGGAAGACTTTCTCCTCCTGTCTCCATTCTCACGTCTCTTCCTCGACGATCAGCATGTTTTCGATCTGTGCTTGTCTCCTTCGTTATTTGCTTTTTGTTTTCCCTCCTTGTTCTCCATCTGATCATTCCCCTTACTTTGGCTTGAATGTGCAAAAAGGGGCTTGAACCTTTTAAAGTTTTTTATTCGAGTGTTTCAATCTGAACCACAGATGCTGATGAGGGTTTTTTATTTTTTACGTTGGTTTTCTCGTCACAACTTGTTTTGTAGTTCAGAGGCTTGAGAATGGATTTAAAAAGGAAAGCACCCGTTGGACACTAAACAATTCAACAAGGCATAAGATCAATACCAGTTAGGTCAGCTGGCTCCTGGGGACATCGGGTTAGGCGTTCTTGCTTTTAAAATATAATTCTTAAGACTAATGACCCGATAATAGACTCGAATATGTTTCACTGGTACAATGACCTTTGTCAGGGAGTTGCGGACCAAGGGTATAAGGATGGACTCTTGTTGCATCAACGTTTTCTCCCAATCAACTAATGATTACGACCCATTTTCCACCAGGATTCTCAAACACAAACAGAACTGACAATTTGTTTTTGATACTTGAGATATTTTTCTTGTCCCGAGAAGAGGAGGTGAGGCGCTGAGAGGTTGAGATGTTTTACATTCTTCATATTTAATTCTCTAATCATTGTTTTTCGAGGATAAGTCTCACGTCTTCATGTTGCTCTTTGAATCCCAGGCTGCCTTTAGCACGAGGCGGCTGACATCTCGTGATCAATCTCCAGTCTGCACGCCTAATTACATCTCATCAAGCAATCAGCAAATGTGATGGTTATTTATTCCTTGACGGCGTCCTCTTGGTCGCCGATAAGCGTGACCGGGATTTCGTCTGCGGCGGCGAGCGGAGGGGACAGAGCTGAGGATAATCAGGAGGAGAGGATCAATGGAGAAAATAAGCGAGAGGAGAGAGAAAGAGAAAGAGAGAGAGGAGGGTGAAGGGAAGAGAATCATTAAGCGGCGCTGGGATATTCAGCTCACGTTTCGAGTCCCGGGAAAGCACATGAGCACCAGTGTGTACAGCATCGCTCTTTGTGACGGTGACATGTGTGTTCATAACATGTTAGTCATGTTGAAATCATGTTAACAGCCCGTGCGAGGGTTCAGCCGGACGAGGGTCAGAGCAGGGCTGTGAGGACGGCGCTGAATAATGATAATGATCCGTTGGTCCATTAGACAGTAGTTTATCAAGAGGATTAAAGAGTGGACATGGATCTGTGTGAGGAGGACGGTCACTCTCGGTTATTCCTCTCGTTTCCGTTCTGACCTGGATACAAAGGACGACCCTGATTATCAGACACCCCCACCCCCTCTTCCAACACCTGCACAGAGCCACGTTCTATCTGATCACGTAAATAAAAACACTGAGAACCACTAACAAACTAAATGATGGAGGAGTTTTCTACATGAATCTTTCATTTCTGAACTAAGAATGTGAGTCATTTTTGTCCCAGACTGGATCGGCAGTGGAGCGCCCCCCACAGGTGAACAGGGGGTGTCACTTAGGCTTTTAATTTGCGGTTTAATAAACTGTCAGACTGATGATGTGATACCTCGGCTGCAGACACGGTCGTTCTCTGAGCTCACCAAACGTTGCTTGCGTAGTTTTTTTTTTCTATTCAGCTGAATGAAGCGGTTCGAGTTCGATCTGAGTTCAGATTCCATCTGTGACTTTCTGCCGTGCGTTTGATTCAGGACGAGCTGAACCTGCAATAACTGCTTTTACAAACCACACTTAGAAAATATAAACTGCCTCCATGCTGCTCCTGTGGTTTCATCCAAGAGTCTGTGAGCCCCGACTTTCATATTCGACTCAAACCGGCGTCATTTACGAGTGTTGAGGCCAAATGTCGGCTGTTGTCCTCCTCGGAGACACGTTCACATGTGGATAACAACAACATTATTTCCTCGTCCAGTGGAAATGAGTCCATTGTTTCATCTGTTTTTGCTCCGGTGCTGTTCTCCACCTCCTCCTGCCCCCTGGTGGCTGGTCATAAACCCCGCTTGTTTGACGTCACCGATTGCCAGATGGCGACACCCATACCCAGGAGGCTTTGCCATAATATTTTTAAAGGGGGGAAGAAGTGGAGATGCATCGAGCGTCTTTATGTAGAGTCGCTGGTCAGCACAGACAAACAGTGATGAGTCAAGTGATGACATGAAAATTATCACATTGTCTTTACAGCTGCAAAGTAATTTGTATTTTCCTCTCGGGTTTTATTTCGTTTTCATAAATCTTTGTGACATTTCACAAAAAGACAACATGCAGTTTTTATCATACATCGTTTTCTGATGGATTGATTTATTCTGTGGGAGTAAATCCTGCAGCTGACGTGAACTGTGCAGCAGAAAATCCTGGAAGGTAAAACACAGCTCACGGGAAACTGGAAACTTTAAAAAATAATACGGCCCATAATGCAACTCCATCTCAAAGTGACAGGCTGAAGTTGGACCAATATGTCTTGTGATTAAAGGGCAGTCAGTGGAGTTTGGACAGGCCTGAATATATCGTGCACTCCAGACCTGCTGCAGCGCTTTCGTTTGGCTCAATGACTTTATGTGATTTGTCTTCGGAGCAGTTTTAAGTCTGACTCAGAATATTTATCTGGAGTTTATGGTTCGGACTTTTTTCAACAGTGCAGCATGAGGTCACTAATGAAGGGGAACTGAGAAGGATTCCTGGCATCTGTGCAGAAGATCCTTCGTCCAACTCATTTCTGTTCATTGAAGTCAATCAGTTGTTTTTGTGTTATCATGGGTGAGTAACGTTACGAGAAGCTGCATCGTGGAAAGACTCAAAAGTCAAATGACAAGTTCAACCATCTCGAACATGGAGACCGACAAATATGGATCTTTGTTACCCCGAAACTGATTTAGCAATTCATTTGAAGATGTTGTTATCTCATGTCACCATCTCACTGGATGAATCGTGGTTTCTCTCTGGTGTTGCACTCGCTCGCTCGCCCACATATCAAGTGTCAGAACCAGAGAAGAGAAATTCTAATCCTGTCTTAGCTTTACTGCCTCTGCTCTACAGTTCATCTGTCGTCAGGTTCTCAGAGGGATGAGACGCTGGAGACAGGTTAAACATACGTCACGTTATGGAAGCGTGAATCTGCTAAGAAGAAGGAACGTTTAATAAAAATCCAAATGCTACCCACACCAACAGATAAATTTGTGATGTGGTGTTTATGTGATACGATGTGGAAAATGATTTTCCTTCACTAAGGCTCAGAAATAGTAAAAGAAAGTCCTCAGATAAGAATAAATTATGTTTTTTATCGGCTGATGCAGCAGCTGAAAGAAACCTAGACATTTCTACAGGTCTGCAAATCACTGGGTTCTTCCCCAACCCATCCTGAGTCCTCCCACCACGTTTCTTTGTCCAGTGGTTTTCTGCATCAGTAAATTCTGATGAAAGCACAACTTCCTTGTTGGGATATGACAAAGAGTGGTTGGGTAACTCAACTCTTCTGTGGAAAAATGGACCCGACGCACATTATTATTTAAAGCAGAGTAGTTTGAAATGTCTGAGGTGAACCTGTCAGTAAAGTTAGTTGCTCAGTTCGCTGCAGGAGAAAGGTCCTGGATCAGTGTGTCCAGGCTCTTGACTCTAAATACAGTGCAATCAGTCGTGTATATCTTTGGCCTTTTCATTCCCCTCTGCATTTTACACAATCCCCCAGTTGCCATGACACCCAGGCCTTCCATAAATACTGGTGGTATTTGTGAGGCTACATCCCCGGTAGGTTAGAACAGGAAGCCAGGGCCCTACGTGAGCCTCGCCTGCAGCCGAGCCGATCGCAGATCGATCCACAGCGTCCTCAGACAGTCTGAGTGTCTGCAGCAGCGCCGGGGTCCGTCTCCGTCTCCTCTCTTATCCTCGACACACCTGCTGTAGACGAATATCTGTGGAACTTCAGTAAATGACTGATGACGCAGATGTGACGTTCCAGCAGAAAAAACAGAAGTGTGGTTTTTGTTCTGGTCATGACTCAGGACTACGGGGGGGTCTCCCCATCGTAAAGCTGCATTTCCCAGATTATGACTTTTTTTGTCCCTGGCAATAGTAAAGATACGTGTTTGTGAACTTTTAATGTTTCTTATAGTCGAATAATCACATTCCCGTTTGCAGTTTCGAGCGTAATCAGACTTGACATTCAGACCACTTGATTATCAGCAGTACAGCTGTTCTTGATGAGTATGAGAGGGCAGATACGCGACCGGACTACAATTTTAGAATAATATTTGGTTTCGATTCGGGTTCGGTCATGTTCAGCTATCTGCTAAAAAACAGACGTCAGGTCGGACTAATTGTCTCCTTTTTTTTTTGTCATTATCGTAACCTCATCACCTGCTGGAGACAAATAACAGAACTTCAGGAGATGACTGATGGTGCAGAGGAAGAGGTGATGATCAAGCTGTAAAAACAGAAGTGAAAACTGAGATGATTCACTTTCCTGTGAGGGAATCGCAGAGGAGATCAAATTTTAAAAAACCAAATGGAAACAGTGAGTTGTGATAATGGGGGTGAGAGGTGTAGATAGACCGGGACGAGGAGCAGGAATAGAGTGTGTGTCTCGTCAAGTCCTGACAAGGGATCAGCAGAAGACCTTTTATGGGTAAAGATGAGGCCCAGGCTGCAGCCCCTAAGGTTACACTTCATTCTCTCAAACGATATTAACCAGCGACTTTGTCTTTTGCCGCCTGGGCCCTTTTTGGACAAGACGTTTCCTCTGTTGTCACAGTCACCGCTGATTCCCTCTGTCGGCCCAGAGGAACGTTTATACAGACACGAGTCACCGCCTCTTATTTGTCACTTCTCCCGGTGGCTTTTCTTCATCGTTCAAATACTGTGAGCTTGTTCTTAAACCGCTGCAGAGAATCCGACGGGCCGTTACCGACGCTCATCCGTCTGAGCAAAGTGGAGGAAACCTGTCGTGGGCTTCAGGTGATTTTAAGTGACTCAGAAACCTTTAGGCTTCACAAACCTGAGCTGCCTGATGCACTTATTTTGCAGCCTAATCTAGAATAACATGCAAATCCAAAGGTATGAAGCACGAGGTTGTGCAAGTGCTCAAAGCTTTGATTGTCAGGAAACATGTCTAACATCCTGATATATGGAAGCTGGACTGTACGAAACACAGTTCACGGATGTTTTATATATATAACAAATCAAATATCTCTTCTGTAATTAGTGGCTCTATATTATTTTACTTCACGTCCTGAACCAATCCTGACCTTTTTAAACATTTTAAATAATCAAAGTTCTACCTGCCAGACTGAACGGTTGTTTGATTCATGAACGTTATATTCCACATGTTAAAGCTCAGCCACTGTTTGATCCAGATGCAGAGGAACGCTTCACTTTCCTGTCAAACATATTTACATTTAAGTTTGTTTTATCCATTTAAAGCAGCAACTGAGCTCCAGGTGATAAAACTCTCAAACCGATGCGATCTGCAGGATCTCACTACATAACGCAGGTGCAGACTGGAGCTTGATTTTTTTTTAGTTTTTCCAGAGTTGCTCTGTGAGCCACCGACCCAGTTATGGCAGCGACGTCTATATTTAGCCCGTGCTTGGATCATGAAGATTATCTGAGTGTTGTAAATGACTGATGTTTGACACAGAAAAGCTGCAGTCGGTATCCATTTAATCATATGGTCACACAGTGCTACGACTTCCTGCAGGAGACAGTTCCCGGAGTGTGTGTGTGTGTGTGTGTGTGTGTGTGTGTGTGTTTGGAGCTCGGTTGCTGCTATCAGAGCCTCGACACACTCTTCCTGCAGCGACCGTCTGCCCGACCCAGGGGAACGTCAGTTAGAGGCTCCTGCAGGACTCGTGGATCAGTCGTCTGCGTCGCTCCCCTGTGAATATGCAGTAATTATGTCAGAGCTCCTGCTTCTGTTTCCCTCCTCTCCACTGTCATCACTGTAATCACCATCAGTATCCTAATTTGGCCGTGCCGCTCTCTCTCCACATGCTTCACGTCTCAGGACAGCGCTCGGTGGTGGATGTGCACACACGGCAGCAGGAGTGGAGTGTTTCCCTCCATCTTAGGTTCAGTCGGATGAATTTTGAGGAGATTAAAATGTCTTGTGTTTCATTTGTCGCATGTTCCAGCTGTTTTCAATCTACCTGACAAGGTCATGTTGTGTTATTTGTCCGACTCGTGCGCAAATTGCATAACACTGTAACGTCACCCACAGAGTCCTTCTTCGCAAACCCGCACCTGCAAAGCTCCGAACCCATAACCCGCTGTCATCTTCAATTAATGTCTTGACCGGTTAACTTAAGACCTGAGCCTATCTTCGTACACACTCACACCAAATGTGACCTGAGCTCCTGCAGCTGTCGGTGAGTTTCCTCAGGAATGACTTCTTCATCTTTATGTGATCATGTCGATGTACGGGCTCGTTCTGTTGGTACTGACAGCAGAGGTGAAGGTCAAAGGTGATGTCACACTGTAGTTCTCCCCTGCAGCCCTTTAATTTTTACCTGTGTGTACACATAT